ACATAAATATGCTAAGCATAGGAACTAGTTATCACACTCCACTTTCATCCCAAACGGTCTTACCGTGTTCCCCCTACTAATCTCATATCTCCCCTTAGCGAGCATCTCATAGATTCCGCGAAGGAACCGGAAAAAGATCAATATTTTGGGCTACTCGACATCTTGATTTCGCAACCCCTTTCCTTAGTCTACAACCAATGATTCCCTCACCGATGAAAGACTCAACTCCTAGGTCCAAAGGTCTTCCCAAAGGTTGTAACGTAAGGCAAGAAGGGTTAAGGTAGGCTAAAATTTAAAATTTGGTGGTTATCCTAAATTGTGAAGCAGAGACCGGCCAAATCTCAACACCAAACTTAAGTAATCACCAAACAAAAACGTATTAACACCCCCAAGCTTATTCAAAGCAACAATCTACAAACATAAGAAAAAAAAGCGCAAACGCTTTCCCCCCAAGCTAAAAGAAACATTGTCCTCGATGCGTAGAGAGGAGAAAGACACTTGAATTTTTATGGTTTTCTTTTTTTTTTTTTTGCATTTTCTCATTTATAAATTTGTTTGTATTTTCTTGTACTCCTTAAAAGCATTAGTCCTTGCCTTTTTTCAATTCGGACGGCTTTTTCAAATATGCATTTATTAACATCCTTGCCTCTTTTACTAAGGACGACTTTTACATAAGCATTTGCCATTATTTACCAATTATAAACAACTCAATTATGTGTACCAATTCGAACCAAACTCCAACTTCATAGACCGCAATCACCAAACATTGATTCTTGCTTCACAAAAACCAAAAAGAAGGAGAACGAAACAAAAGGCTCAAGATATCTAATTATGCGGCTTGAAAAGAGGGAAAAAGGTTCAAAGGGGTAATAAGTAGGCAAATGTATCCCAAACCAAAAAAAAAAGTAAACATAAAGGGACTATCCTAGAAAAATAAAATACCTCCCCGAAAAGTTTCCTTTGTCCTCCCTAGGTAGTTCGGTCACGGTCTTAGGAATCATACGCTAAGATTCTAGATTAGGTTTGCGAAAATCAAGGATCCATGCCGCTCATGCAAGAATTTGATGAAAGCTTGAACAAATATACGTCTCACATGGTTGTAGAAAAAACTCACTAAGGTTGTGAAATCAAAAATAGGGAGCAACTACCAACATGCCACAAGCAAGTAGAATCCGGTTTCATGATCCCCCTAGTTCTAGACAACTATCTTAGCATGCTTTATCCTAGAATCAACCAAACGTAATCTCAAACCGTGCATACCATTATTACCTAGGAAGACTATTATTCAAAAGCAAAAGTCCATTGCATACTAGTCCAATTTTCAAAAAGAGAAAGAGTGAAAATAAAGCCTCAAAAAGTAATGCACACAAACAAGAATAAAAGAAAGGGAAAGAAAAGAAAAGAGAAGATGGAAAACTTAGATAAGGACAAGAAAGGGAAAGAGGAAAAGGGCAAAGATGCAATCATAACATGTTTATCCCAATCGACATACAAGCGGTCTAATGGCCACATCGCCAAAGACCCCAAACACACTAGGTGTTAAATTCATACATCCTCGAACCGTTCAACTTCCCCTAAATATAATCCTAATCTAAGCAACCAAGAAAATAAAGAAGTGAAAATAAAGAGGTAAAATAAGAAAGGCCTCACCAAGCGTCCATGCTAAACTAAAGTACCCGAGGAGTAGGAACGTGCTTCTCTAAAAGGCTCCGCAATCCAAAGCATAGGCTACGAGCAAGGTGAGTTAAAGAAAAAAGCTATATATACAAAATGAAATTGTTAGTAACTTCCAAACAAAAGCAAACGATAAAACACTTAGACACAAGGTATATTCAAAAACCTAGAGAAACCCATCATCATCAAAATGTTTTTTTTTTTTTTTTTTTTTTTTGTTTTTTGCAAGAAACTCCCAAAAACATCATGAAAAGAAACAAAACAACAACAAGCAACAAACCAACGAGACCATTAGAAAAAAACCCACCAAAAACCTTATCAAAGACTTCCCACCGAGCCCCAGGTGCCTCCCCCAAACCATCCATAAAACATCCTTTTTGACCCTCCCCCTCACAGAATAAAGGCATCAACCACGATGCCTACAAACATGCAAAATAGGGAAGGGGGAGAACAAAAAGGGGAACAAACACGCATAAGGGAACTATTGGCCACTAGGGCCGGCACCATCATAACCCGTATCCTAACCTCCGGTGCAACCGGGAGGAAATCCATAGTGACCCTTGAATAGGTCAAGTTGGGATTGGGTCAATTAGTCGTAGGGCTCACGCTGAACAAGGGGCTCGGGGTGATGGGGTGAACATAGTAGTATGCGGGATCACCCCGATAATCACTCCGCCCCGAGACCCTATAATCATAAGGCGGGAAGTTGTGCCTTGGCACAATGGGGTCCTCAACCCCGGGCCAATATGGGTATGTAGGGAGGTTGTCACCACCCCATGAAGGTACCGGCCCTTGTTGGGGCGGCACATAAGGGTAGTTGACTTGAGGTGTGACCTCCCCCCTACGCACACTAGTGTCATACAAGGCGCTAGTTTGATAAGACAGAGTTTGGTGGTCTGAGTACATACCTTGCATGCTCAATTGCATGCGCTCCATGTTGGCTCTCATGGCCTCCATCTCTCGGAGATAAGAATCTCCTTGGAAATCTTGTTGTTGTTGTTGTCTTCTTTCTCTTCTTCTTCTTTGAGCATCATCATGAAAATGCACATGTTGTTGTTGTAGTGGCGGTTGTTGTTGCTCTTCATCATATTCTTCTCCTCCTCCTTCCTCCTCTTCCTCATCATTCTCATCGCTCCCATTGATCTCATCATCCTCCTTTATCTCATCTTCAATCCTCCCATTGTCCCTAGGGACCATCCAAATGTTTCTAGCCTCACGAAGGATGGAGGTGGCGTCCAGTTAGGGAGTAGGCAATGGTGGGTATTTCTCACTATCCAAGAGTAAGTATCGGTTCTCCTAGTGCTAGTTATGAAACGTAAAGTGTTAACTTGTTTCAAACTAATCCACACGTCTTCACTCCTTCCAACCGGAGTGCAAGACTTCAAGAACCCCTCTTGCTTAAAATACGACACAAGACGTGTCACCATGCCCCCACAATGAATTTCCCCCGTTTTGACCCCATGCATTATATCCTTACAACAATTCATGAAGATATAGCCAAAATTAATCCTTGACCCTAAGTCCGGCTTTGTAGCCATCCATAACACCATAATCTCCTCTCGAGATAACTTCCCCAAATCTTTCTTATTAAAGACCAAATACCCAAGAATTCTACGAAGGATCCTAAGGGTCGGATGGATAATCTCACTAGCAAGAGAATTCTTCAAATAAAACTCCCTCTTGTTGGCTATGGTTCTCCACCAAGAAGCCTCATTATACTCAGTTTGGACTAGGGAGATAAGGGGCTCGAAGATATCACCGTTGGGGTTGAAACCAAGGGCTACATTGAACTCGGCTAGGTTCATGGTGTGTTTGACATTGAAGAGTTGGAAGGAAATAATAAAGTCGGTTTCCCCCAACTTATTGAACTCAAATGTGGAGAAAAACTCAATGGAAGGCTCCAAATAGGTTCTAGGGGAAGACTTTATAAAATCACCCAAGCTTAGGTTGTTTATAAAGATGTCAAGGTAATTTTAAATTCCTAGCTTGGCCATGTCCTCACGAAAGTAATGGCGGGAGGGTCTAAACTTCCGGTCTTTCATTTTTTTATAGATGGGGGTTTGTTTAGACCGGTTCCAGAACTTGAGAGGGGGTAGAGGAGGAGGAGGAGCATCATCTTGAGTTGTGGAATGCGGTTGGGGTTGAGGGTTTGAGGATTGGCCTTGAGAAGATTGGCCGGGGGATTGGTTTGAGCGCTTCTTGCTACTTTTCACTCTTCTTATCAAATCCATTTTGACAAAATTCACACAATTCACAAGAACAACACAAACTCCCTCAAACAAAACAACTACCACCAAAATTACTCACATTCTTCCTTACAAATCCAACCAAACCACCACAAACTACAAGGTACCAAGATTGGAGACTCAAATTAAACTCAAAGCACTTCAAAGACCCGAAATTTCCCGAAAAACCACGAGAAAGAAGAGTAGGAGTGTTGAAATGGAGGAATATGGAAGAATTTGTAAAAATTTTAGGCAAAAGTTGAAGAAATAGGTGAGAAATTGATGTTTTGGGGTTAGGGTTTGAGAGGAGGTAGAGAGAGAAAGGGGAAAAATAAGGAGAAGAAGGGAAAATAAGAGAGGAGAGAGAGAGGAGAGGGTGCTCCTGGGTATAACAAACCCAGATCGCCGCGCCCTCTCCCGACTCTGCCACGCCCGCGACAACTCTCCCGCGCCCGCAGAGAGATCGCGGGGCAACCGCGGGGAGCTCCTGGAACTTTTGGGATTTTTTTACATGACGGGGGGCCGCGTCCTCTCCAGAAATGCCGCGCCTCCTCCAAAACTTCCCGCGCCCGCGGAGAGACCGCGGAGCAACCACGGGGAGCTCCTGGAATGAATTTCCAAATTTGCTTGAATTGAGGGTCGCGCCCTCTCTAGACACGACGCGCCCTCTCCAAAAAATCCCACGTCCGCGGAAAGACCGCGGGGCAACCGCGGGAAGTCCCTGGATTGAACTTCAATTTTTCTTGAAATAAGGGTCGCGCCCTCTCCAAAATTTCCGAGGCCTCTCCAAAACTTCCCGCGCGCGCGGAGAGACCGCGGGGCAACCGCGGGAAGTCCCTGGATTAAAATGCCTCACAAAGGTGAAGAGGCCCCCGAGGTCTCTCCAAGCCCTCGGGGAGCCCTCTCTCCTGCACTCTAAACTTTTCATCAAACCCCTTCTTTCCAACAAGTGATGATAATAGGAAACCCACAAAACCAACTCAAAATAAAATAAAAAAACCAATCAAGGAAAGAAAAAGGAAAGAGAAATGAGATGAGAATTCGGGTTGCCTCCCGTAAGCGCTTTTGGTTAACGTCGTTAGCTCGACGTGCACCACCATCTCAAGGTGGCTTAAAAAGAATCATTTTGTGAACAAGTCCAACAAACACTCCATCATAGTACTTCTTGAGCCGATGACCATTAACCTTAAATGAAGATGAGGAGTTCAAAGGAGAAATCTCCACGGCACCATTATCAAAAACATCTTTCACCAAGAATGGTCCACTCCATCTTGACATGAGCTTTCCGGGGAACAACTTCATCCTTGAATTGTAGAGGAGGACTTTGTCACCTACACAAAACTCTTTTTTCTCAATCAACTTGTCATGAACCTCCTTGGAGCGAGCTTTGTAGGTGCTAGCACAATCGTAAGCATCAAATCGAAGTTCCTCTAGCTCATGAAGATCCAACCACCTCTTCTCCCCCGCACTAGCTAAGTCAAAATTTATCTTCTTGATGGCCCACAAGACACGATGTTCAAGCTCTACCGGGAGATGGCATGATTTTCCATAGACAAGGCGATATGGAGTGGTACCAATAGGTGTCTTAAAAGCCGTCCTATAAGCCCAAAGAGCATCATCTAACTTGTCCGACCAATCCTTTCTATTCCTTGCAACCGTCTTCTCAAGAATGAGCTTTATTTGACGATTGGAGACCTCTACTTGGCCACTCGATTGAGGATGATATGGAAGGCCGAACCGTTGCTGCACTCCATGTTTCCTCAACATCTTTTGGAAGGCGTTGTGAACAAAATGAGATCCGTTATCGCTTATCACAGCCTTAGGCACGCCAAACCTTGGGAAGATGATTTTGTTGAACAACTTCAACACTACTTTGTGGTCATTAGTAGGGGAGGCAATGAACTCAACCCATTTAGAAACATAGTCCACAGCCACAAGTATGAATTGATTACAATATGAAGATGGGAATGGTCCCATGAAGTCAATCCCCCAAACATCGAACACCTCTAACTCAAGAATGGGCTGTTGAGGCATCTCATTCCTCTTGGAGATATTCCCAACCCTTTGACATCGGTCGCATGACTTCACAAAGCCCCATGAGTCCTTGAAGAGATGCGGCCACCGCAAACCACATTGAAGAACCTTGGTAGCGGTCTTACAAAACACCCATATGCCCACCACTAGGGTCCGAGTGGCACATCCTTAAAACACTAGGCACCTCTTCATTTGGAACACAACGCCTAAGTAAGCCATCAACCCCTCGTTTGTATAAGATTGGATCATCCCACAAGTAATGTCTTGCCTCCCTTTTGATTTTCTTCCTTTGGTTCTTTGAGAAGGAGGGTGGAAACTCCCCACATGCTAGAAAATTCACCAAGTCGGCATACCATGGGAGTTCCTTCACCTCTATGGCATATAAGAAGTCATCAAGCATTCTATCCTCAATTGGTGAACCATCATCATGAATTTGATCACCCTCAAGGCGAGAAAGATGGTCCGCCACAACATTTTCCGCACCCTTCTTGTCCCTAATCTCAATCTCAAAAGTTTGCAATTCAAGAACCCATCGAATCAACCTAGGCTTGGACTCTTTCTTGGCAAAGAGATACTTGAGGGCTGCGTGATCCGTGAAAACTATGGTCTTGGAACCCAACAAGTAACAACGGAATTTCTCAAAAGAGTTCACAATTGCTAAAAATTCCTTTTCCGTTGTTGTGTAGTTCTTTTGAGCCCCATTGAGTGTCTTGGACATATAGTAAATCACATGAAGCTTCTTGTCTACACGTTGTCCCAAAACACCTCCAATCGCCCAATCACACACATCACACATCAATTCAAAAGGAAGATCCCACCTTGGGGCTTGAACAATAGGAGTGGAGATTAGGGCCTTCTTCAATCTATCAAATGCCTTCAAGCATTTTTCATCAAAAATGAACTCAACTCCTTTTTAAGAAGGTCATTTAGGGGCTTAGCAATAAGTGAAAAATCCTTGATGAATCTCCTATAAAAACCCGCATGACCAAGGAACGATCTCACTCCCTTGACATTCACCGGAGGTGGAAGTTTCTCAATTACTTCTATTTTTGCTTTATCCACCTCAATGCCTCTATTTGAAATCTTGTGCCCAAGCACTATACCTTCCTCCACCATGAAGTGGAATTTCTCCCAATTCAAAACAAGATTGACCTTTACACATCTTTCCAAACACTTCTCAAGGTTCACAAGGCACTCCTTAAATGAAACACCCCCCACCGAAAAGTCATCCTTGAAGACCTCCATTTCCTCGTCCAACATATCCCCGAAAATACTCATCATGCACCTTTGGAATGTAGCGGGTGCATTGCATAACCCAAAGGGCATTCTTCGATAGGCAAAGGTCCCATAAGGACATGTGAAGGTAGTTTCCTCTTGATCATCGGGGTGGAAGGGGATTTGGAAGAATCCCGAATATCCATCGAGGAAATAATAAAACTTGTGCCTTGTTAGTCTTTCAAGCATTTGATCAATAAATGGAAGAGGGAAGTGATCCTTCTTGGTGGATGTGTTTAGACGTCTATACACATCCGCCAACCCGTGACCGTCCTAGTTGGAATGAGCTCACCCTTCTCATTCTCAACCACGGTCATGCCCCCCTTTTTTTGAACGACATGTACGGGGGAGACCCACCTTGAGCTAGAGATAGGGAATATGATTCTCGCATCCAATAGCTTGGTGATCTCCTTCTTAACTACCTCTCCCATTTGGGGATGTAGTTTTCTTTGTCGTTCGATAAAAGGAAGGGCGCCTTCCTCAAGTGTTATGTGGTGTTGGCACAAGGCGGGGCTTATACCTTTAAGATCATCAATTGTGTACCCCAAAACACCATGGTGCTTTCTCAAAACACCACATAACGCTTGAGCTTGGCTCACGCTCAAGGATGCACTAACTATCACGGGGTAAGTGGAATGAGGGCCCAAGAACTCATACCTAAGGTGTGATGGTAGAGGTTTGAGCTCTACCATAGGCACACCATTACCTTCCTTTGATGTGGCCGCTTGCAAAGCTTCTTGGCTTGAGATTTTCAAGCACATTTGCTCATCCACTTCCTCCATGCTTCCATTAAGCAATTCCTCATAGAATGCCATTTCCTTTCATGGTGTACCTACTTTGTCCTTGTTCAACAAAACATTCTCAAGAGCATCGTTAGAGGTGAGCAAGTGCTCATGCATGGAAGACACAACATGATCAAGTGAATCAATCATCATGCAATTTTCTAGAGAAGAACATGGATACTTCATGCTTTCATTCAAATCAAATTCAATGACCTCTTCTCCTACCTTAAGGGAAATCTTTGCACTCCTCACATCAATCATAGCACCCAAGATAGCAAGAAAGGGTCTACCTAAAATGATTGTAAAGGTAGCATCTTCATCCATTTCAAGCACAATAAAATCCACCGGGAACACAAAATTCCCAACCCTCAATGGAACATCTTCTACCTTACCTTTTGGAAACTTGATTGACCTATCGGCTAATTGCAAGGTAATGTTAGAAGGTAAGAGTTCCCCTAGCTCAAGTCTTTGATAAACCGAATATGGAATTATGCTCACACTAGCTCCCAAGTCACATAAGGCATTATCAATTTGCATCTTGTTAATGGCACAAGGGATGGAGAAGTTTCCGGGGTCTTTCCATTTGGGTTGCATTTTGTTCATGATGATAGCACTACAATTTTCGGTCAAATTGATAGTCTCCACAACCTCACAAGTTCTTTTCCCACTCAAAACGTCCTTGAGGAATTTGGCATAATTTGGCATTTGGTTGATCACATCAGTAAAAGGTAGAGAAAGATGAAGTTGTTTTAGCATATCAATGAATCTCCCAAATTGTTCATCCAATTTGTGTCTCATGAATTTTTGTGGGTAAGGGAGCTTGGGTTTCACAATTTCTTTCTCTACTCTCACCTCTTTAGGTGTCTCAACCACAACCTCATCCAATGATGCCCTATCCCCCTCATTTCTCAACCAAGGCTTCCTTAGGAATCTCCTTATCTTCACCCTTCCTAGGAAATCTCTCCTCAAGAACCTTACCACTCCTTGTAACAATAGAATTCACGTGTTTCTTGGGATCAAGACCTTGGGAAGGTAAAGAAGAAGGTCTTGCATGATCTTTCAAAGCATTAGCAAGTTGAGAAATTTGGTTTTCATACATTTTATTGTGGGTCATCATTTCATTGAACTTTTTATGACTAACGGCCATGTATGTGTTCAACAACTTGGTTTGATTCTCAATTATTTCTTCCAAATTGGTCCTAGGTGAAGAAGTTTGTGAATAGGAATTTTCACCTTGAGTCCTTGGAACAAATCGGGGTGGGGGACCTCTTTGAGAATTATTTTGAAAATTGCCCCTCCCTTGATTGTTCCAAGTACCCCTATTTTGATTTTGACCATAACCTTGATTATGGTTACCACAACCTTGATTATGATTACCACTACCTTGGTTATGATTTCCATAACCTTGGTTTTGATTACCATAATTTTGGCTTTGATTTTGGCCACTATAACCTTGGTTATTATAGCTACCACGAGAACCTTGGTTCCCTTGGTTTCTATAACCACCACCTTGGTTATAGTTGTCAAAATTGCCTTGGTTTTGGTAATTCCTATTCCATTGACCTTTTTTATTATCAAACTTTTGGACATTATTATTTGACACATAATTCACATGCTCACTCTCATTGTTATCAAACTCATCAACACATTCATTAGGACAATTACTAGAGTCATGATCATACGATCCACATGCATCACAAAAACAAACAACCCATAGGCATATTATGTGAAGAGGGAGGGGGTTGAGAGTTAGAAAGAGTACCTTTCCCCTTAAATTGGGAGGGAAGATTCGAAGCTTGAGAAGAAGAAGAAGCGCTCTCCAACTTGGCTTTAATTGCGGTCACCTCCTTTCCCAAGTTTGTCATTTGGGAGGAAAGGTTGTTAATCGCATTTAGATGGTCCACCGAGTACAATGAAGATTTCTTTCTTTAAGAGTCACTCTCCCCATCTTGCCAATCTCTATAGTACGTCACCACGTCCTCAATAATGTCCACCACTTCTTCTTCGGTATTGTTCATGATAGGACCCCCGGACCCCCATCAAGGCATGACTTGCCTTGGGGACTTAAACCGCCATAGAAGATTTGGACCACTTGGTATGTTGGGATTCCGTGGTGAGGGCACTCCCTTTGATACTCTTTGTATCTCTCCCATGCTTCGTAAAGGCTTTCATTTGGCCTTTGCTTGAACCCTTGAATCAAGGCTCTTGCCTCCGCCGTCTTCTTTTGAGGGTAGAAGCGGGACAAGAAGGCCTTTGTAACATCATCCCATGTTCTCAAGGAGTTGGGCTTCACCTCTTTATCTAGCCACTCTAAGGATCTTCCTATGAGAGAGAAGGGGGACAACTTGAGGCGGATGAACTCTTGAGAAACTCCGTTGACTTTGATGGTGTTGCAATATTTCTCAAATTCTTTAAGATGGTTCAACGGGCTCTCATTCTTAGCCCCACTATATTGCCTCCTCTCAATTAAAGTGATCATGGCCGGCCAAATTTCAAAATCATTTGCTGGTGTTGTAGGCGGAGCTATACCGCTCTCAAACCTATAGGCACCGGGTATTCCTAGCTCCTTCAAGGCCATTCTCGGATTTTCTCCCATGCCTTTCTCTTCTTGAATCCCTTCTTCACTTGAAGAACTATACCCCAAGGATCGATTAGCTATTCTTCTCCTTGAGAGAG